AGCCATAACTGTCCTGAGTCAAGGCTGGAAGGTCATTAGAATGACATCCTGTGTCACAACGTAGCTGGTCAATGTAGGTGGTTGCTGGGTGACCAACACGTTTTGCTCCATGCCTCGGTGTTCAGAGAAGTACATCACTCGCGAGTTCTGGTTTTGCTCTCCAACAGCGTATTCCAGAGAGCATCCTGCATTTGCATAAGATTGCAGAAATATCAGGGACGGGTCCATAGAGCTGTGATTTAGTTGGATGTTGTCTCCAAGAGATGTTAAGTATAGCTCTCAGCATCTAAGTGTAGGTTCAATCAAGCTTAGATTGGTTTGGTTGATTTTGTTTACTAGAATATTAACCTGTATGAGTTATTTAATGCCAAAATCAGAATATTTTTAATGTAATTTTTTGCCTCCAGCTATAGTTAAATGTCTTGTTGGTCATATAGCTATAAAATATCTCGTTGATCATATAGTTACAAAATATCTTGTTGGTCATATAGTTATAAAATGTCTTGTTGGTCATATAGTTATAAAATGTCTTGTTGATCATATAGTTATAAAATGTCTTGTTGGTTATATAGTTATAAAATGTCTTGTTGGTCATATAGCTGTAAAATGTCTTCTTGGTCATATAGTTATAAAATGTCTTGTTGATCATATAGTTATAAAATGTCTTGGTCATATAGTTATAAAATTTCTTGTTGGTCATATAGTTATAAAATGTCTTGTTGGTCATATAGCTATAAAATGTCTTTTTGGTCATATAGTTATAAAATGTCTTGTTGGTCATATAGTTATAAAATGTCTTGTTGGTCATATAGCTATAAAATATCTTGTTGGTCATATAGTTATAAAATGTCTTGTTGATCATATAGTTATAAAATGTCTTTTTGGTCATATAGCTATAAAATGTCTTGTTGGTTATATAGTTATAAAATGTCTTGTTGGTCATATAGCTGTAAAATGTCTTGTTGGTCATATAGTTATAAAATATCTTGTTGGTCATATAGGTATAAAATATCTTGTTGGTCATATAGTTATAAAATGTCTTCTTGGTCATATAGTTATGCCAAAATAACTATCACTTATTATGTCAACCATTACTGCATCAAGGTTGGAAAGTCATTAGGGGGGGCATTCTCTGTCATAACATAACTGATGTCAATGTAGGTGGTTGCTGGGTGACCACCTGCCTTGCTCCATAGCTCATTATCCAGAACAGTAGATCACTCTCGAGTTCATGTTATGCTCGCCTGCAATGTCCTGCAAAGTGCATTTGCATAAGATTCTAAAAATATCTGGGTGGGTCCATAGATCTGTGATTTATTTAGATGTTGCCTCCAGTATAGCTCTCAGCATCCGAGTGTAGTTTCCATCAAGCTTAGTCTCAAGGGTTTTAGTTAATGTCCAAGCAGGGACACCGTACATTATCACCGCCTCTACAATGGCTCAAAACAGTCTCTGCTTGAGGTTTTCTGGTAGATCAGATTTCAAGATCACATTGTTTTTATTCAAGGCATCCCAGCACCGTGAAAAGATTAGACAGATTAATTAATTCACCTGAGACAGTTTGTAGCGAGCCTTGCTGGGTGAAGCCTATGAATTCAGTTTTAGAGGCATTGACATAAAGCCCAACATCATTGGCAGCATTTTCTAGATGATGTCCATATTTGCAAGTCAAAGCAACAATAATAAGGCAAAAGATTCACAAAGTAAGAATGGTGTTCATATGCAAAAGGGATACAGTCAAGTGATTATTCATTTACCAAACAATAGCCTTGCCTTCAAAATATAGGTCAATGTAGATGGTTGCTGGGTGACCACCTGACTTGCTCCATAGCTCGTTATCCAGAACAGTAGATCACTCTCGAGTTCCTGTTATGCTCGCCAGCAAAGCGCATTCTGGATTTGCATAAGATTATAGAAATATCAGTGATTGATCCAGAGAGCTGTGTATTTTGTTGGATGTTGTCTCCAACAGATGTTAAGTATAGCTCTCAGCATCCGAGTGTAAGTTCCATCAAGGTTAGACTCAAGGGTTTTAGTTCATGTCCAAGCAGGGACACCATACATTATCACCGCCTCTACAGTAGCCCGAAAGAATCTCTGTTTGATGTTGTCCAGCAGATCAGATTTCCAGATTACATCCATTTTATTTAAGGCGACCCAGGCTTCAGCAATGTGAATTTTCATATCGTTTTCCGTAGAATTTATTTGGCTTCCGAGGTATGTAAAAGATTCGACTGATTTTATTGATTCATCTGGGACTTGCAAGCTGCTGGGGGAGGCAGAGTTAACCTCTGCCCGGGCCATGATGGACATCAAACCCGTCTTCCGCCTTAGATAGGTGTCCAGAGCAGTAGCTCACTCTTGTTTTTTTCTCGCCAGCCGTATCCTACAAAGTGCATTCTGTATTCACGTAAGATTAAGAAATATCAGGACTGGGTCCATAGAGCTGTGATTTAGTTGGATGTTCTCTCCAAGAGATATTAAGTATAGCCCTCAGCATCCGAGTGTAGCTTCCATCAAGCTTAGACTCTAGGATTTTAGCTAATGTCCTGGCAGTGGCACCATACATTAACACCGACTCTACAGTGGCTCAAATGTATCTCTGTTTGAGGTTGTCTGGTTGATCAGATTTCCAGATTGCATCGATTTTTTTCAAGGCATCCCAGGTTTTACATTTTCACATCTTTTTCAGTAGAATTTATCTCGTTTTTAAGGTATACAAGTTATTCAGATCTATTTCCTGGAGATTCTCCTTTATGGCAGTACCCGCTTATTGTGTGAAATGGTGTGTTTAGGGACCGCCTGAAACAGGAGCGCATGCCCCACCGGTGGGGCATGGTAATATTTTGTTGGGGGCATGCGTAGGATGAGCACCGTTCGGCTTCTATACCAACAGAATAAGGGGGCAATTCGAGAATGAGTTACTAATAGTTATTAACATTAATTTGTTGTTAACATTTCCATCTTCATATTTAGCTGAATGTGGTTTTAGTGCTGTAAATGATTTCTTATTGAAGAAAAGAAATCGACTGGATATCACTAAATAAGGAGATTTGAGACTTAAGCTGACTAAATTGGTGCCTAATATAAAATCTATCTGTAGCAGGCATGACGCACAAGAATCTCACTAACAGTCATTTTGTGATGAGCTCAAATTTCATTTTGTATTATTTCATGATTAAAATGATCAAAGTATATTACAGAAAAAAAAAGCTTTCATTCAAATATTTTATATTTCTGCCTTTCAGTTCTTTATCATATGTTTTGAAACGATATATATTTAACTATCTTTTTGTTTCTTTAATTTTCTCTTTCATGGACGCCATTGTCTTTGGAGGCTTGTTTAGAGACCTAGTTAATAGCCTTTTAAGTTTCTTTCAGATGAATTGCAATAAAATTTTGAATATGTAAGAACTAAATATTTCAGGGGACCCCAGAATTTTAGAAATACGAAAGTTGTACATAGCCCCAAATCAGTTGGAGACCACTGTTCTAGACTGTCATCCAAGGCTAGAAAACCCAGTTTACCTCACTATTTAACCCATAGCTAAGTTTCCCACGTACACTAACTATTTCATCACTCACTGATGAAAGATTCCTTCCTAGCTTTATGTTTGATGTTGTTTGGAAGGTCGACATCTTGATTATGTCCTCATTCTCTCTTCTTGTTACAACGCACTATTTGATATGTCGCTGTTGTTGAAAGTCCTCAAATGTTGTAGCTTCTGTCAGCTCTTTGTGATTATGTAGCACCAATCCACAATGTTTGAGAGATGATTGTCTTCGCCAAAATTCACAGGCTTCACTCGCTCAATGCCATTTTAACCACTGATCTTAGAAAGCAGTTGTAAGCAGTTGAAAGTTTACATATTCCTAAACGTGTTTGGCGCCAGGCATGAAGTCTGGATTGAAGAACATGACACATTTAAGAACGTTTTAGTTGTTGAAACTCATCAAGGGATTTAGATATTTAGTGGACTTTGAGGAAAAATGGTCCCTGCTAAGACCTACCGGATTCATTCTGAGGAAGAGGTTGTCTATAGCTGACAGTTTAAGTATTTGTGTTCTTTTTTTCAGCATAAATTCAACTTTCCACTTTCTTTCTTTTAACACATATGCAAATTTTCCCTTTCTTTCTTTCTTTCTTTCTTTCTTTCTTTTCATCTAATATTCGACTTTGCTAACCGACCTTCCTCCCTTTCTTTCTTTGTTGCTCCTCTCTCTTTCTTTCGGCCTTTCTTTCATTCTTTGTTAGTCTGTTTGTTTGTTTCGTTCTTTCATTCTTTATTACATCTTATATTCGAATTACCTTACCGACTTTTACCTCCCCCCATCTCTTTCTTTCTTTTTCTTTCTTTCTTTCTTTCTTTCTTTTTCTTTCTTTCTTTCTTTCTTTCTTTCTTTCTTTCTTTTAAATGTATTATCTTTTTGTTTTCCTTCTCCCATTCTTTCTTTCTTTCTTTCTTTTTCTTTCTTTCTTTCTTTCTTTCTTTCTTTTAAATGTATTATCTTTTTTTTTCCCTTCTTCCATTCTTTCTTTTTCTTTCTTTCTTTTTTCTTTCTTTCTTTTCTCCCATTCTTTCTTTCTTTCTTTCTTTCTTTCTTTCTTTTAAATGTATTATCTTTTTTGTTTTTCTCTTTTTTCTTTTTTCTTTTTTTCTTTCTTTCTTTCTTTTCTCCCATTCTTTCTTTCTTTCTTTCTTTCTTTCTTTCTTTCTTTTTTTCTTTTTTAAATGTATTATATTTTTGTTTTCCTTTCCCATTTTTCTTTCTTTCTTTCTTTCTTTCCTTCTTTCTTTCTTTTAAATGTATTATCTTTTTGTTTTCCTTCTCCCATTCTTTCTTTCTTTCTTTCTTTCTTTCTTTCTTTCTTTCTTTCTTTTAAATGTATTATCTTTTTGTTTTCCTTCTCCCATTCTTTCTTTCTTTCTTTCTTTCTTTCTTTCTTTCTTTCTTTCTCCCATTCTTTCTTTCTTTCTTTCTTTCTTTCTTTCTTTTAAATGTATTATCTTTTTGTTTTCCTTCTCCCATTCTTTCTTTCTTTCTTTCTTTCTTTCTTTCTTTCTTTCTTTCTTTTCTTTCTTTTTCTTTCTTTCTTTCTTTGTTTTTCTTTTCTTTTAAATGTATTATATTTTTGTTTTCCTTCTCCCATTCTTTCTTTCTTTCTTTCTTTCTTTCTTTTTTCTTTCTTTCTTTCTTTCTTTCTTTTTAAATTTTATTTTTTTGTTTTCCTTTCCCATTTCTTTCTTTCTTTCTTTCTTTTCTTTCTTTCTTTTCTTTTTAAATGTATTATATTTTTGTTTTTTCTCCCATTCTTTCTTTTCTTTCTTTCTTTTTTCTTTCTTTCTTTCTTTTTTCTTTCTTTTAAATGTATTATCTTTTTGTTTTCTTTCCCATTTTTCTTTCTTTCTTTCTTTCTTTCTTTCAGCCCATATTGACTTCTCTTTTTTTTAAGCTTTTCACACCAAGCAAGGCGAAAGCCACTAGCACGCAAGGGGTTACAGAGAGTTGGAGCGAGAGCAAATAGGGGTGATAGAGGAAAAGATGAAGAGAAGGATAGGGGATAGATCAAGGCATCTGGATATGTCAATTGACATTACATTTGAATAATTGGGGATTATAGCTATCAGGGAAACAGGAAGAGGGGAGGGAGTTCCACAGGCGAGAAGTGCGAGACAGGAAGATATTGGAGTAGAAGAGACGGTTACATTTAACAGTTTCGACAGTGAAAAGGTGAGAGCGAGATGCCAGCCTAGTTGAACGCTTAAATTCATGAAGTCTGGGAACCAGCGAAAGCTGCTCATCGGAGCAGTTACCGTGAAAGTATTTGTAAAAAAGACAGAGGGAGGCAACGACACGTTTGTGAGAGTCCTTTACTTCCTCCCTTCCGCCTCTTTCTTTATTCAAGCCCATATTTCCTCTCTCCATTTCTTTCTTTCTTTCTTTCTTGCTTTCTTTCTTTCTTTCTCCCAGCCCGTATTCGACTTCCCTCTTCGACCTTCTCCGCTCTTTGAATACATTTTTCTTTTTTTTCTCTGTCTTTCTTTTTCCTTCCTTCCTTCCTTCCTTCCTTCCTTATATTCTATCATTCACACGTTATTCTCTGCTCCATTCCTACTATACTTTATTTCCGTTTATTCATTCATCTTCGAAATCTATCGCCAATCACTTCTCCTCATTTTCATTCTGGTCATTAAATTAAAGGCCTTTTCCTTTTTTTTCCCTTGTGAAAGTTAAAAGTGATTTATTCGAATGTCAAAAAAAAAAAAAAAAAAAAAAACGAACAAAATTTTAAAAAAATAAGAAGAAATCATAAAAGAAACTAAAGCAAAAAAGAAAGGTTAAATGCTTTTCAATATGGGAAAAAAATTTTCACCAAAGTCCGTCTCATTCTTGCAAGAACAATCAAAATTCGCTAAAACTGCGTCTATCACGAAACTAATGGAGCATATTGCTATGAGAAAGTGAGGAATTCAGTTCTTGAAATTCATTCTCATATTTCCAGACGCCAAACCCAACATACTTGACCAATTTTTGGATTTTTATCTTTTGATCGGTGTCAATCTCTTCATCTATCCATCTGATTCTCTCTCTCTCTCTCGCTTTCTCTCTCTCTCACACACGGACTCACAATATATGTCTATATATTCATTCAGTCTGTTCATATCTATTTATCTGATGCTCTCTACTTTTCGTTCGTTCTTTCTTTCTTTCTTTCTTTCGGCATATCTATCTTTTTATCTATCTGAAGCTCTCCACTTCTTTCTTTCTTTCTTTCTTTCTTTCTTTCTTTCTTTCTTTCTTTCGTCATATCTATCTTTTTATCTGAAGCTCCCCACTTCTTTCTTTCTTTCTTTCTGAAGCTTTCCACTTCTTTCTTTCTTTCCCAATTTGATCATACCTATTTATATAACTATCTATTTCTGATTAAATATATATATTATTAAATAATCTATCTATCTATCTATCTATCTATCTATCTATCTATCTATCTATCTATCTATGTCTTCATATCTATTGGCTCTAATGTGCAGGTGGTAAATCTATCTCCTTTCCCTAAATACGGTGAAGTGAAGAAAGAAAGAAAGAAAGAAGAAAAGAAAGGTATACAAATAAGGAACAGAGTAGAGAGGAAAGAAAGAAAGCAGAGAAAACTATAATAAACAATAAACATCGTAATGATGAAAGAAATTAAGAAAGAAAGAAAAGCGAAAGAATAAAGCGAAAGAAAATAAGAAAGAAAGAAAAAATAAAATAAGAAAGAATGAAAGAAAGAAAATAAGAAAGAAAGAAAGTAAAGAAATATAGTAAATGATGAACAAAGTAGTGATGAAAAAAGAAAGAAATGTGGAAAAGGAGAAAAGCAATGTCATCGAGAGAAAGAGAGAAAAGAAAAAGACATGGTGGAAAAATTGAGTGGCGGGAAAATGGACGAAACATATGTAAATAAAATGAAAAGGCATTGGCCAAACACACATTTTTCTCGGGGGGGGGGAGTTCGACGTTATGCCAGGGTGGTCTGCACCTCGGAAATGAAAATACACACATCTACACACACTATTCCTCCTATATAATTTTTCCTAATCCATTCTCCGAACTTCTTCAGACAATACTTGTCCTGGGATTAAACAAGCCGATAAGCTATATTAACTGTTTTTGGACTTTACGATGTAATGGATCATTATTTATGAAACAAATCCATCCAAACATTCATTCCCTCTAATGATTCCATATCTAGTGATATAGCAAATACTAAAAGCATCTATAGAAATTCATTGCAAATGATTTTACTATAGGAATGCATTAGAAATGATTTGAATACTAGCTCTTTATGGAACCTGGAATATTATGGCTAGGATTTATGAAACAAATCCATCCAAACTTTCATTCCTCTAATGATTCCATATCTAGTGATATAGCAAATACTAAAAGCATCTATAGAAATTCATTGCAAATGATTTTACTATAGGAATGCATTAGAAATTATTTGAATACTAGCTCTTTATGGAACCTGAATATTATGGCTAGGATTTATGAAACAAATCCATCCAAACTTCCATTCCCTCTAATGATTCCATATCTAGTGATATAGCAAATACTAAAAGCATCTATAGAAATTCATTGCAAATGATTTTACTATAGGAATGCATTAGAAATGATTTGAATACTAGCTCTTTATGGAACCTGGAATATTATGGCTAGGATTTATGAAACAAATCCATCCAAACTTTCATTCCTCTAATGATTCCATATCTAGTGATATAGCAAATACTAAAAGCATCTATAGAAATTCATTGCAAATGCTTTTACTATAGGAATGCATTAGAAATGATTTGAATACTAGCTCTTTATGGAACCTGAATATTATGGCTAGGATTTATGAAACAAATCCATCCAAACTTTCATTCCCTCTAATGATTCCATATCTAGTGATATAGCAAATACTAAAAGCATCTATAGAAATTCATTGCAAATGATTTTACTATAGGAATGCATTAGAAATGATTTGAATACTAGCTCTTTATGGAACCTGAATATTATGGCTAGGATTTATGAAACAAATCCATCCAAACTTTCATTCCTCTAATGATTCCATATCTAGTGATATAGCAAATACTAAAAGCATCTATAGAAATTCATTGCAAATGATTTTACTATAGGAATGCATTAGAAATGATTTGAATACTAGCTCTTTATGGAACCTGAATATTATGGCTAGGATTTATGAAACAAATCCATCCAAACTTTCATTCCCTCTAATGATTCCATATCTAGTGATATAGCAAATAAAGCATCTAAAAATTCATTGCTAATGAGAAATTCATTGATTTGAATACTAGCTTTTACTATAGGAATGCATTTTATGAAACAAATCCATCCAAACTTTCATTCCTCTAATGATTTGAATACTAGCTCTTTAAAAGAACCTTGAAATGATTTTACTATAGCTTAGAAATGATTTGAATACTAGCTCTTTATGGAACCTGGCTAACAAATCCATCCAAACTTTCATTCCCTCTAATGATTCCATATCTAGTGATATAGCAAATACTAAAAGCATCTATAGAAATTCATTGCAAATGCTTTTACTATAGGAATGCATTAGAAATGATTTGAATACTAGCTCTTTATGGAACCTGAATATTATGGCTAGGATTTATGAAACAAATCCATCCAAACTTTCATTCCCTCTAATGATTCCATATCTAGTGATATAGCAAATACTAAAAAGCATCTATAGAAATTCATTGCAAATGATTTTACTATAGGAATGCATTAGAAATGATTTGAATACTAGCTCTTTATGGAACCTGGAATATTATGGCTAGGATTTATGAAACAAATCCATCTAAACTTTCATTCAATTTCCATATCTAATGATATAGCAAATATCTCTATAGAAATTCATTGAAATGATTTTACTATAAATGCATTAGAAATGATTTGAATACTAGCTCTTTATGGAACCTGAATATTATGGCTAATTTATGAAACAAATCCATCTAAACTTTCATTCCTCTAATGATTCCATATCTACTAAAAAGCATCATAGAAATTCATTGCAAATGACTATAGGAATGCATTAGAAATGATTTGAATACTAGCTCTTTATGGAACCTGGAATATTATGGCTAGGATTTATGAAACAAATCCATCCAAACTTTCATTCCTCTAATGATTCCATATCTAGTGATATAGCAAATACTAAAAGCATCTATAGAAATTCATTGCAAATGATTTTACTATAGGAATGCATTAGAAATGATTTGAATACTAGCTCTTTATGGAACCTGAATATTATGGCTAGGATTTATGAAACAAAACCATCTAAACTTTCATTCCTCTAATGATTCCATATCTAGTGATATAGCAAATACTAAAAGCATCTATAGAAATTCATTGCAAATGCTTTTACTATAGGAATGCATTAGAAATGATTTGAATACTAGCTCTTTATGGAACCTGGAATATTATGGCTAGGATTTATGAAACAAATCCATCCAAACTTTCATTCCTCTAATGATTCCATATCTAGTGATATAAAGCAAATACTAAAAGCATCTATAGAAATTCATTGCAAATGATTTTACTATAGGAATGCATTAGAAATGATTTGAATACTAGCTCTTTATGGAACCTGGAATATTATGGCTAGGATTTATGAAACAAATCCATCCAAACTTTCATTCCCTCTAATGATTCCATATCTAGTGATATAGCAAATACTAAAAGCATCTATAGAAATTCATTGCAAATGATTTTACTATAGGAATGCATTAGAAATGATTTGAATACTAGCTCTTTATGGAACCTGGAATATTATGGCTAGGATTTATGAAACAAATCCATCCAAACTTTCATTCCTCTAATGATTCCATATCTAGTGATATAGCAAATACTAAAAGCATCTATAGAAATTCATTGCAAATGCTTTTTACTATAGGAATGCATTAGAAATGATTTGAATACTAGCTCTTTTTATGGAACCTGAATATTATGGCTAGGATTTATGAAACAAATCCATCCAAACTTTCATTCCTCTAATGATTCCATATCTAGTGATATAGCAAATACTAAAAGCATCTATAGAAATTCATTGCAAATGATTTTACTATAGGAATGCATTAGAAATGATTTGAATACTAGCTCTTTATGGAACCTGGAATATTATGGCTAGGATTTATGAAACAAATCCATCCAAACTTTCATTCCCTCTAATGATTCCATATCTAGTGATATAGCAAATACTAAAAGCATCTATAGAAATTCATTGCAAATGCTTTTACTATAGGAATGCATTAGAAATGATTTGAATACTAGCTCTTTATGGAACCTGGAATATTATGGCTAGGATTTATGAAACAAATCCATCCAAACTTTCATTCCCTCTAATGATTCCATATCTAGTGATATAGCAAATAATAAAAGCATCTATAGAAATTCACTGCAAATGATTTTACTATAGGAATGCATTAGAAATGATTTGAATACTAGCTCTTTATGGAACCTGGAATATTATGGCTAGTAATTATGAAACAAATCCATGGTGTCATGGTAAATGTTAAAAGCATCTAAAGAAATTCATTGAAATGATTCTAATACGAAAGCTTTATGTAACCATTGATATTTCGTCCTGAAAAAAAGTTTGTTACGATTTTTAAGTGAATTTCATATGCAGTATTTACATGCTAGTATTCAACGACATATGTGCTATTTCCTACCACTATATCGTTGAGGCTGCTTCATGCTTCCGTCCCCCCAGAACATGACCTCTATCAGTGAGATGAAATGGTCTCAAAGACTTTTACTGATGTCGAAGGAATAGTAAGAACTTTCCTATTAACAGAACTTTATAGGCCAAATTCCAATAAACGGAAAATGAAGAGACAATGATGCACTATTCTGTGCATAAGAGTTTTCCGCACAGAGCGATCCTCAGACGGTTGAAAGATTTATACGAGAGCTGATAATACAATATCATATGAATAAAGCTGCATAACAGTCTGTAAAGTAAAACAAAGCAATAATAAAAGGCAAAGAATTTACAAAGCCCAAATTCCAATAAACGGCGTCTTGTTAAGCGAAAAACTAAAAAGAAAAAAAATAAGGGAATAGAAAATAGTATTTCTTCGTGAAACAAACACGTAAAACTCTAAGACAATTTTCCGTGTGTGGTCTTTTTGCGTCGGATCGACAAGAGTCACAGAATCCGATACTTTCCCCTTTCATTTTTTTATTTCTTTTTTTAACATTTACTTAATTAAGGAGTTTTTTTTCTTTTCAGAAGGTAGATATGCTTAAATATGTCTCTTTCTCCTTGTACACCCTGGAGTTTGTTTTTTTTCTTCACGAATGCTCTTTTTCCTTGTACATCCTGAAATCGGAGTGCTGAAATATTTCATTTCTTAATAAGCCCAGGAGTTGGGGTGCTGAAATATTCATTTTCAGACTTGCACATTTAATACTCGCCATCACACCTACACAAAATCGAGTCATCCTTTTTCACTTCGGATTCCATTCGTAAAGAGGAACCTTCCATTCAGTTTCTTCCCGAAAACTGCTACCATGCGGAACAGGCTCCTGAATAAAGAGATATATCCAAACGTAGATATAAACACTTTTAGATAGATAGATAGATAGATAGATAGATAGATAGATATAACCAAACTGTGATAGATAGATAGATAGATAGATAGATAGATAGATAGTTATAACCAAACTGTGATAGATAGATAGATAGATAGATAGATAGATAGATAGATATGACCACACTGTGATAGATATGACCACATTAAGATAGATAGATAGATAGATAGATAGATTGAGAGAGAGAGAGAGAGAGAGAGAGATGAACAGGCTGAGATGGATAGATATGAACAGGATGAAATAGATAGGAACAGATTGACATAGATAGATAGATAGATAGATAGATAGATACTGAAATCGATCGATCTGTAGATAGATAGAAATGAAAGACTGAGATAGATAGATAGATAGATAGATAGATAGATAGATAGAAACGAACAGAGATAGATAGATAGATAGATAGATAGATAGATAGATTGAGAGAGAGAGAGAGAGAGAGAGATGAACAGGCTGAGATGGATAGATATGAACAGGATGAAATAGATAGGAACAGATTGACATAGATAGATAGATAGATAGATAGATAGATAGATAGATAGATATGAACAGGCTGAGATAGATAGATAGACCGACAGACAGATAGATAATGAACAGACTGGGATAGATAGATAGATAGATAGATAGATAGATAGATAGATAGATAGATAGATAGAAATTATAGGAGGTCTGTCTGAAAAGTAACGGGTCGACAATGAGTTCTTGCCACAGAGCCAGATGATCAATCAGCAAAAAGATCCGGCGGTGCTTGCTTCGTTCAGTGCGCGAGAAGAGACGAGAGTTGTGGCAAAACAAATCGTGGCTGCTTCACTACAGAAATGCACCTGCTCACAAAGCCCTGAGCATCCACCTGAAAATATGCGATGTTAAAATATTAAGAGCATGCATTTATAATAAAAAAAATCTTTATATGCATTATTTAAATTAGGTTCAGTTAGTTCTATTTAATTATTTCTTGAAAAATATTCAAAATATGTACATATTTTTCACACACCCTCGACTACTCAAAGAACGTAATAATGTCAAACAAACACTAATCAACAACGGCATCCCGAACAACCTTATAGACCACCAAATTAGATTATTACTCCATAAAGTAAGTACCGTTCTGGGTAAGACTATAAACTACATCCGCGTCCTGGGTAAGACGATAAACTACGTCCAACAGCAAGGAGGCTTTGAGGAGCGTGGAACCACCTCTTAATTGCTGGTGTTCCCAGGTCCACCCTGACCCGGGGTGGTAGCACCTGTTAGGGTCCCAGCTATGGACAAATAATTAACCCTGCAACTGAGGTAAAAAGCATTATGAAAGTGTAAAACTAGGTTTTAATACCAGAAATAATTTGTAAAAAAATATTACCAGAAGTAAATTTATGAAGAAGAAAAACTAGTACCAGCAATACGTTTTTGAAAAAAAAAATACTACCAGCAATACATTTGCCTGGGGGTCTCTGTATTCGTCCCTTCAAAAAGTGTGGATGGTCCTGCACGAAACCTTCACCACTATAATCAAATCTCATGTGCCGGTGTCGGGCTGTCGGTTTCCTGGAAACTGATCTGCTTGACCCTCATACGTCGAACCCAACGGGAGAATCGATTTTTTTAAAATATATATATATATGTACACACACACACACACACACACACACACACACATATATATATATATATATATATATATATATATATATATATATATATATATGTTTCATTAAAAACGGCAGACAAGTTACCACGGTTAAGCTTTTTATTTAATTTTTCTTGTGTTATGACAAGAGCCTTCTTTTCTGGACAAAGAGTGTGTAAAAACTGCCCAAATGTTTTATATTTCCGAGCGCTTTCGGCTATACCTTTAGCCATTATCAAGAATGATTCGATTTTTCAGTTTAATTGAATGTGTGCATTATGTGTATGTCTTAGTGTGTGGTAGGGATGTTTTTAATTTCCGAATACGGTTAGCACATTGTGACCTTGTTCGTAGTTAATATTGTTAGGAGTTGTTTTTTTTTTTTTTTTTATTATTAGAGCTTCCCTTAATTATTTTTACAGGTGGATGCAGTTAATATATTTGTGTTTTCTACTCGTATGTTCCTAATGAAATCGGGTAAATCTGTGCGTGTGTTTAAATGGATTCTAATGGAGCTGTGATCAGATAGGTGTAACGTAAGCCGTCTGGATAAGCATGTAGTTGTGTAGCCGATGTAATTATTTATGAGTCCGGTCTGATCAGGAACACAGTACCATAAGGAGCATTTGAACTCATAGATAATTGGGGTAGTGTATTTCTTTATAATGTGTTAGTGAAGATTCGTCTTGTTTGTAGTTAATGCGCATTTGGTTTTTTGTAATAAATGTTTATGTAATTTTTGACTGTGTTGACTCTTGTTATTACTTACTTTGGTTTGGTTTGGTTTGGCTTGTTTTATATTAGTGGACTCGACCAGAGTGTTACTTGGAATGCTGTCGTTAAATACCCAGAGCTAGACAGTCAGTGAGCGTACAGAGAGAGTAGACAGAGATTGAGTTGGAGGTAGAGTAACAGTGTGAGGTAACCGCTTGTAGAAGTCAGTTACAAGCACGCCCGACTCTAAGGAAGTCCTACTTCGAGACTGTATATATATATATATATTATTACGACTGTGTTCCTGGATTTACTAACAATATACCCATTGTATTATTGTGTAAATACATTTAATTTCTTATCTTTATTTCTTGCGTTTGTCATTCATTGGAGACCGAATTTCATCTCGGAATCCACAAGAGTAATAAAGTAATATTTCAATATCCCAAAACAAAATAAATTCTTGTAGATAAAACGTAATATTTCAATATCCCCGAACCAAATAAATTTTCGTAAATATAAAGTAATATTTCAATATCGCAGTACAAAATAAATGCTTGTAAATATAAAGTAATATTTCAATATTCCCGAACCACGCACCGTATATTCTCGAGTATAGTCCGAGTTTTTATGATCAGTTTTTTACACAAAAAATAGCGGGTCGTCCTATACACAGGTCATATTTTTTGAAAAATAGCGGGTCGTTCTATACACGGGTCATATTTTTTAAGTGTTTTAAAAACACGCATTTTCGGTGAGCGGTTGCACTATACACAGGTAAATCTTTTTCTTGATGCTTTAAAATTCATTTCAAAGAAATTAAGGGGGCGCACTATACATGAAGTCGACTTTTACGCGAGTATATATGGACTCATTTACATAAAGGGCTAATATTTACCTATCCCCAAATCAAGTAAATACCTACAGTCTCAAATATAAACGTCCAAACCCAGACATACAATCATTTATACAAACGTCAAACATTTACCTTTATTTCTAAGTAAATGCTTACAGACTTACATATAAACGACCACTTTTTACCTATCTCAAACCAATTAAATTCTCGTCCTTGTAATGATGATAAATTACATTCGCGTCCTGGGTAAGACGATGAACTATGTCCAACAGCAAGGCCTCTGATCAGAAGGTTTTGAAAGGCATGGAACCACCATTTAATTGCCGGTGTTCACAGGTCCACCCTGACCCGGGGTGGTAGCACCAGTTAGGGTCCCAGCTATGGGCAAATAGTTAACCTCCAAATTGGAGTCAAATCACTATAAAAGTGTAAAATAGTTGTTAACACCAGCAATAAATTTTCTGAGGAAAAATTAATACTAGGAATAGATTATTACCAGCAATACATTTTTGAAGAAAAAAAAATATTAGCAGCAATGCGTTTTTGAGGAAAAATGTTACCAAAAATATATTTGGGAAGGAAAAAATATTACCAGGAATGCATTGTTGGAGGAAAAAGTATTACCAGCAATACGCTTTTGAAAAAATATTACCAGCAATAAAAATCTTGCCGGCATTAAATAACCCATTGAAGTTGATATGCCGTAAAACAAAATAAACTAAACCAATCTGAACTAAAGAATACATATTCTATTCCTACGAATCTATCCTAAAAATCTTGTCGGCATTAAATAACCCATTGAGGTGTTGATATGCCGTAAAACAAAATAAATCAAATCTGATTTACAAACTGATTTCTTACAAAGAATACATATTCTATTCATACGAACCTATCCCAATAATCGTGTCGGCATTAAATAACCAATTGAGGTTGATATGCCGTAAAACAAAACAAACCAAACCTGATCTACCAACTGATTTCTTACAAAGAATACATATTCTATTCATACGAACCTATCCCAATAATCGTGTCGGCATTAAATAACCAATTGAGGTTGATATGCCGTAAAACAAAACAAACCAAACCTGATCTACTAACTGATTTCTTACAAAGAATACATATTCTATTCATACGAACCTATCCTAAAAATCATGTCAGCATTAAATAACCCATTGATATGCCGTACAACAAAATTTCTTTCCGAGTCCCAATCGGAGATTTAAGGTTAGAAATGTTTTCATGACATATTCCATTGATCTTTTTATTTTTTATTTTTTGTAAAAACAAACAAACATCTTACATAGATAAAGCTCTTCGCAATGTGTGAGCTGTACTTGGGAATAGAATTTTTTTGTATTTCTACCAGAAACCTCTTCAATGAGCCTATAGCAACATTTTCCAATCAATCCGCGGACCCCAACGACAACTGGAATTATTGATGTCCTTATGTGCCAGATTTTTAAGATTTCCACTTCAAGATTCTTGTATTTTGATCGTCGGTTTTTTAAAGATATTCAAAGATGCATTACAATCTGCAGGGACCGCCATGTTAATAAGAAAGCGTATCCTGTTCTTGTGGTCACTGATCATGATGTCTGGGCGATTAGCCTTGATAGTTCTGTCTGTGTCGATTGTAAAGTCCCATAAAATTATTACAGATCCTATCTCTGTAACCGCGTCTGGGTTTTATTATTATTATTATTATTATTATTATTATTATTATTATTATTATTATACTTCTGTTGTATACGTATTTCTTTCGGGATCCCAACCAGAGGCATGACATTTTCCACTGATCATTACTGTAAAAAAAAATAGACAACCTAAGATCACACATTTTACATAGATAAATTCCTTCATAACGTGTGAGTTGTACAGGTGAGTACAATGTCTTTGTATTTCTTTAAAGCATGCGCTGCCAGAAATCCCTTAATTATTATTATTATTATTATTATTATTTCCCTTGATTTCTGGCGTGTACACATTTCTTTCCGGGCCTCGCCCAATGACGTAAGGTTAGAAATGGCATCATGACACTTTCCATTGAAAAAAAAAATACAAAAACAAAACAAAAAAAAAACAAAAAAAAAAAACAAAAAACAAAACAAAAAAAAACCCGCAAAAAACATATTTTACATAGATAATGCCCTTCGTAAGTGTGGGGAAATTTTTTGTATTTCTTTGAGGCATGGGCTTCAAGGAAGCCCTTCAATTAGTCTACTGGAATCTTTTCCAACCAGTCCTAGGGCTCCAACTACAACAGGGATTGTTGATGTTCCCCTATGCCACATTTTTGAGATTTCTATTTCAAGGTCCTTGTATTTTGACAGCTTTTTGAATATCTTCAAAGATACATTGCAGTCAGGAGGGACTGCCATATCAATAAGGAGGCACCGTTTTTGTTTGTGGTCTTTAATAACAATGTCTGGGCGGTTGGCTTTGATTGTTTTGTCAGTGTGTATTGTGTAGTAG